TATATTGGACATTGAAGTGGAATATATGTATATTATAAAAACCTGTCGACGAAAGACAGTAAAACAACTAGAATATCACAATTAGAATTAAAACTAGCGTGGAAAGTTAAAACTAATAGCACTAGTGGGACAAAACAATATGAAAACAGGCTATAGATCGCCAACAACAGATGGTAGGATCACCATACTAGGGACCATGGGGACTTAGAGTACCTTGGCTACCTGCATGGAAACTAGTTGGATTTACACCATCCCTTCAGCTGCTGGCGATTTTAAGAAATGTTAGCCAAAATTAAAATAACAAGAATACTACGTTTAAAAATCCTGGTAATTTTAAATTGACTTTGAAATTAACATACCCTCTCAGGAGGACAATAATTTTCAACACTTCAATCCCCCTTGAGGGATTCGACTTACTACTTTTATTGAACTCTCGATCAATTTGTAGAAGGTGGGCCACATATTTCGTCCTGTTGGAGCTGCTCTCTATACACAGCTTATAAAACGCGGGTCATTGTGGAAAAACTATTTACAACGTCAGTGCCAGGAGATTGATACAGATAGATAGATTTTCGATAAAGCCAGTGTAATTATGTATGTATGTATGTATGTATGTATGTATGTATGTATGTATGTATGTATGTATGTATGTATGTATGTATGTATGTATGTATGTATGTATGTATGTATGTATGTATGTATGTATGTATGTATGTATGTATGTATGTATGTATGTATGTATGTATGTATGTATGCATGCATATATGCATGCATGTCTGTCTGTCTGTCTGTGTCTGTATGCATGCATGTTTTGTTGTAAGTTTTGCAACTGACCGCTTCATTACTTGACCAGCCACTGGCATAATCGTACCGGTCCACGAGTCCTTCATGGAAATACATATGTGATCACCTTGTCGTCTAACATACTGACCTATAAACAATTTCATTAATCACCTAATCAACTACTGAGTCAACCAATATACTTCCCAAACGGACATCCAGTCAACCAATGGTTCAGGCAAAGATAACACAAAGATAAGCTACGGATGGCTGTTAAAAGATCAACAGATCTCAAGCTGTGGACGTCTTCTTTCCTGTCATACAAAAAGACATATCGATCAATATACAAACACACAGTTCAAATGAAAGGAAAATCGAATGGATTAATGCATAACATTTGATGAACCTTCGTCTGAAATGAAAAAATCACCAATTGATATTGGGTTCTAAATAGAAGCGATAAAACCCTTTCTACACTCATAAGAAATCTCTGCCAAGAGCAGAGTCGATTGTACAATTGGGACTATATCGTGAGCAGATATTTGTTTCAGCAGTATTACAGCTGTATGATAATGTTTGTAAACAAATCGAGTCTGGACCAGACAGTCCAGTGATTGTCACCAAGTGATACGATGACAGAGCATGTGTTTATGAATTACTGTGAAATAGTGATGATATCAGGTGTTCGCGAAAAGGTGAGCGTATCTGCCCCACCGGTGGCACACGTCATAAACATGTGCTAGTCAATCGTTGATAGTTCACCTGAAAACCATGAGGTGAAATCTCCCCACTTGGCCAAAGAAGACTGGAAAAGCACTGAAATTCATTGAAACCATTCCCTTCCTTCGGCTGTGCCAATCATTAACCTTTTTATCCTGTTTAAATTTACGGGTTTGGTAAAGGAAACTGTGTTATTACTGACCATGCTCATTAAACATATGGTATGAGAGAGAAACCACGATTGAATCTTTGAAAGTGAGGAGCACATAACGTTCTATGTTAAGGCCTGACTTCCATTCCGTTGTGAGGTATGTCACAAAATGTGCTTGTGTGGTTGACATACGAGACCACCATCTGGTACATCAGACACTAGTCAACATGTCCTTCCCTATCGGGGGAAGCACCAGCTACCCACACAATATGTATCACAAGTAATTATTTGTATATCTAGTTTGTCTGAGCCACCCTAACAGCAGTACTCCTGCCATACAACGGTGAGTGTAAACAAACCAGACAATCCAGTGATTGACGGATGGAATGTTACGTGACGTCATATGAATCATAGTTTTTCTAGTATCTTTTCCTAAGGATAAATAATATGCCGCAATTCTAAAATTAAGTTTTAGTAGACTAAAGAATAGTATACCAGACTAAATCCCCAATAGCTGCAGACTACGAAGCTATGAGGTAAGATTTAATGTATAGACATAGGAAACAAGTAATAACCCCAGCTGAAGGTAAGGAGCGATATCACACCACATGCTAAGAAGGAACAAGAACACCTTCTGGTTGGTCGTGAATTGCCTCCTCCAAATGGATGATCGTAACATATCACGCTACAGTCTGTAGATCGTAACACCTAACTGATACTCCGTGGGACGTCACAACTGTGATATACAGGGTTCTTTATGACTCTCTTATCATATTCTGTGAAGAGTTCATGTCTGTTGTAGTGAATGTTTAAAGAGCCTAATCCCGGGAGGAGGAACACTCTCATATTTGTCTCCGCATCCGGTAGGAAATATGCATGATTTGTGAAACAGTTTTTTTGTGACAAAGGGAGGTAACCGTTAGTGTTGTTGAATTATTGTTTTTTTGCTCTTTGTTTATGTGAGACGTATTCATCTGTTAATACTTTTGAAGAAATAGTTTCACATTTAGGGTTTTCATCGAATGGTCACCTACTATCGAAGGATCAAATTAAATGAAGCCATTTTTCTGTTTGATGTTAGAATTCACTGTCGTTTTTCTAGCGAGATCCAACGTTTGTGCTTTGTCACTGGTTCTTTCCCACAATGATAAGCGGAAGTTCATGTTGTGACTCTCAGTTGATTTTATACGTCAGTGGGATGAGCTGAACTGATTTCACATAATTTTATTTCATTGACCAAATAACTGTTTCAGATAACGTCAGGGGCTTATTGACACGAAGAAATGGCCTGTAACATACGATACCAGTATATGATAAAACAGCTAATATTTTATCACCACTCCTAATTTCTGAACTGATCTATGTTTTTGTGTTGTGTCAGTTGTGCAAAAACATGACAGCTGTATTTAAATGATCGATTCTAGAACAGAAAAGAAAAAAGTGATTCACTTGATGAAAATTCAGGACGAAATTGGAGTACAATGACATACATCTACCAAATCAGTGAGACTCAGTGAAAACTAATTCTAACAGATAATATTGAGATTACTGGTATTTAGATATATCAGCACTGTCACACAATTTACAAACATATATTTAAACAATGTAGCAACTAAAATGAAGTATTACACATCGCGTCACCATTTCTCGGACAACTATCAGAATTGGATTTGTTTGCCTTCTTTATGAACATCTGGTGTCATTACTGGCTTTTAGTGACCCATTAATATAACTGATATCGGTATTTTGCCATTTATGCACTTGGAGTTTTTGGTTAGATATTCGACGAGTTGAATGTTGTTCAATTGGTACTCAAGTATACATGACACGACATCTCCGTCACCAGTGCAAACCAATACAGACAAGCTTTAGCTACAAAGGAGGAAGATATTGCCGGAAAATTATATAGTAAAATTGAAAAGTCAGATTTCAATCCCAACAGAGTTATTTGGGTTTTAACCACGCGTGCCTTGAATTGACAGCATCCTTTTACGGTAATGTGAAATCGACATCGCGTTTAAAAACACGCCCAGCAAAACAAACTAACGAGTGACTATGGAATTTATATGTTCGAGCTTTTAAAGCATTTCTTGAAATTGTCACTTTGAGTAAGCTGCGTAGACTTGAAAATACATTAAAGTTAACGCACTGGCGTGTTATATTGATGTCCCGCCTGGATTTGAGTAGATTTTAATCATGTTCGTGCTTGATCAGAAAACGATCGTGATTATGTACAGAAAAATGTTTACGATAAATGTAAGTGTCTTCTGGTGGCGATTTGTGGTGACAAGGCAGAAACGATATATGAGGTTGTCACGTCTGAGGTGAACGGACCATTAATTGACCAAGCTCTCAAGTCACATCAATGGTCCCCAACATCCTCATTTTAAGTGAGTGGTCCTTGGCTATTCCTACATTTACAAGAAATGCATGACCTTGAATATCTCAGTTGCAAACTTTTACATCTGTGTCAGTGAAGTAACATACAAGTTCCACATTGACACACTGATGTTATTTTAACGTTAATGACATTGATTTAATTCTATGAAAGTGAGCAAAGGGAGGAGATTGTGTGTGTACATAAACATGAGATTGAGTTTCTATGGGGATGATGTCAATAAAACGAGTATTTGAATATTGATAGGAAACAGAGATGGTTGTAAGAGGATACAGATATTGTATACGTATTTAAGATGAGACGGAGATTGTATGAGAATGTGAACAGGAATTCAAGATTGTAAATGAATATTAGCTGGTGAAAAGGATTCTGTCCAAGATGGTATTTGAGTGAGTGAGTGAGTATGTGAGTTTAGTTTAACGCCGCTTTCAGCAATATTGCAGCTATATAGCGGCGGTCTGTATAAGATAAATATATGTGTCTTCCAGTTCGTGGTGATTTGTGGTGGCAAAACAGAAACGATATATGAGGTTGTCACGTCTGAGGTGAACGGACCATTAATTGACCACGCTCTCAAGTCACATCAATGGTCCCCTACATCCTCATTTTAAGTGAGCGGTCCTTGTGCATTCCTACATGACTTGAAATATCCACTGTCTCAGTTGCGAACCGTTACATCTGTGTCAGTAATGACTTAACATAAAAGTTCAAGGCTGACACACTGATGTTAATTTTACCTTTAATTACATGCACTGCATTCTGGGAAAGTTAGCATAGGGAGGAGATTGTGTGTGTACATAAACATGAGACTTAGTTTTCCTCGGTATGATGATAATAGAACGAGTATTTGAATATTGATAGGAAACAGAGATGGTTTATAAGAGGATACAGAGTGTTGTAGACATAACAACAAGGTTTGTTCATTCTTGTACTCGACGACGTTTTACTTCCTTTTATCATGATTATATACACCGCAGTGTTCATTGCTTCTTGCATTCCTCCATATTGTCGGTTGTCGGTTCAAGCTAAAAACATGATGGAAATGTTTTCTACTAACTTCACAGTACTAAATACCACTGAAAAATATTCCTCCAAGTTACAGAATAAATGTTACTCGGTAAAAAAAGTATCCTCGGATTATGTTTTTTGTGAATGAAATACACTTTACTTTGGCTTTAGTTGCCAGAAACAAACATTACAAATACTTGTGTAATGCAACACGTTAAACATGGAAAATTGTGATTGATAAAGTCATGACAAGGTGTGAAATTGTTTCTGCAAGAACAACAGAAATTCCTACACTTCCAAAACCCAAAACATGAGGATACTGTTCACTTATAAGTCAAGTCAAAATAACACAAAACGTGACACTATTTTAGGCCAACCCACGTGTTCCTAAACGTGGAAATAACTGCACATTTATGGCTTAATTTAACATGTTTAAGTGTATTATGTACCTGTAATACATATATGTTGCAGGTACTACATGATTTGTAACTACAAAATTATACTTACAAAATTTGTAAACCCATCAAACTGTCTACACATCTTGTTGTCAACTTCACCACCGCGAAGCACATGGCAAACCGCAGTTCCCACTTTTGGAGTTACCTCCCTTGCCCCCTTGGTCATAAAAAATGTGGATCGCAATCCGGAAAAATTAAATCTTTCAGTTACATTCCCGGCCCCTAAATGTGCAGCAAAATCCAAAAGCAAACATTTATCTCTTTAAATCATGAAAACACTTCAAATCATAAGCTTCATTCAAATTTCCTGTTTCGCGCCATGTTCAGCAATATTCCAGCTATGTGACAGCTATCGGCGAAATCAAGTCAGGTACAGACAATCCAGTGGTTGACATCACGAGCAATCACCCAAGCAACACAATCATATGCATCAATGACCCTGCCAACAAGCATGGGCAACAGAAAATCAAAACAAAACGGGACCCAAAGTCCTCATTTCAAGAAACAAAATTAGTCTCACTGTCATAGTTCAATCACAGAATCTCTGCAATAGTTCATTCAACATGTTCCAACAGACAAAGTTTGTGAATGGGTCTCAACAACAGTGAACCCCTCAACTTCACTTCCAGGGATCTCACCAACCCGTCCTTTCCAGGAAATGTCTTTGTGACCCTAGCCAAAGGCCATATCTTTCGAGGTGTGTTTTCTTCCATCACTAACACAATGTCACCGACACTCAAGTTCTCACTGGGATTTTAACCACTTCTGACGTAACTGCAAAGTAGGTAGACACTCCCAAAACAATCAGAAAGAAACTACATGTCTCCACATTCGACCATAAACATCTTCCTTTCGAAATTTACCCGGTGGTAATGATGTGTTTGAGCGCAGTAGAAGTAGGTGATTTGGAGTTAGTGGCTCACAATCATTCACACTATCTGACACAACAGTTATTGGTCGGCTATTGATGACAGATTCAGCTTCATAAAATAATGTATTGAGACCTTCATCACTGAGGCCACTTTGTTTGCTAAGTAGAGCTGACAGAACTTTGCGCACCGTGCGAATCTGCCTTTCCCACACACACACATGTGTGAGGGGGTGGGTGGATTGAAGATCCACTGTATGTCTCTATCCGGCATAGAATTGTAGATCTTACTTTGATCCAACTCCCGAATAGCTTTGAAGTTTGTCCCATTACCTGATCTAATAGTCTCTGGTTTTCCTTGACGTGCCTCAAAGGCATTGATAAAGGAATCTGTTTCCACAGAATCAAGTTTCTCAATGTGTATTGCTCTCACTGTCAGGCATGTGGACAAACATCCGTATCGCTTTACCAAACTTCTGCCCCCTTTTCACAAGAAATGGGCCAAAACAATCAACTCCAACATAAGTAAATGGTGGTTTGTGAGGAGTTACCCTTTCTTTGGGTAAAGTTGCCATTTGCTGTGAGCTCTGATACCCTGATGTCGTCGACAATGGACACATTTTCGCAGTATCTTGTTAATTCTGGTACGTGCATTGATAAGCCACAAATTTTGCCGCATGTGAGACAAAACATGTTCTCGTCCTGAATGTCCAAGGACTTCAACGTGATGATTCTTTGGAATGATTATAGGGTGTTTGCATTCTTCTGGAATAGGGGCGTTACCCAAACAACCTCCAACACACAAAACACCAAGACAATTCAAGACTGAATCAAGTTTGTAGAGTGGACTAGATTTCTTTACTTGTTCACCTCTTTTCAGACAATCTATTTCCTCATGAAAATGACATCTCTGTAAATACGTTACAAGCTGAACTACTGCAGTCTTCAGTTCTTGTAAAGTCAAATGCTTCTGATAAACAGTTGATGTAAATTCTGTTCCCTTTGATCTCTGAAGCAGCCACTGTTTGAATCGCAGAATCCATGCTGTGGCTTTCTTCAGTTTCAGCCATGATGAGAACCTCTCCCGTAATCTGTCCATACCACACACAGTTGTATTCACTTGTACGAAAGATTCTACTGTGTTACCTCTCTGAACTCTCTGATACCTGTAATATATCAGTTATCACTGGCCATCTGTGCTCCTCTTGCCATAAGAAGCTTGGCCCATGAATCCATTGATCACGATGAAGAATTTCATCAGCATCTATGCAACGGGATGCATCATCAGCTATATTTATGTCTGATCCAACATATCGCCAACTGTCCGGTGAAGAACCTGAATGAATAGCACTCACTCGATTTGCCACGAAGGTTTTGTTACTCTTGATGTAATGTAAAACTGTCAAACTATCAGACCAGAAAATGGAATCCTCAATTTCCATTCTCAGTTCTCTGCATAACATTTGATCAATTCTAACTGCCATCAAAACAGCAGATAATTCAAGACGGGGTCATTTGCTTCAAAAACTGTCTATCACAAAGCGCACATTATCTGCCCCTTCATTGTTGACCGTAGATACGACACTGTGCCATATCCCGCCAATGATGCATCAGCAAAGTGATGCAAATCGCACTTTGAAGTTTTTAAACCCTGAGGGATTAAACATCGGTCAACCACAAAAGTTTCAATCGACGGCATAACCATTTCTGGGCATTGTCTTGTTCCAGTGGGTCATCCCATTGTTTATGTAATTGGCATTCACTTTGAAAGATGACTTGAGGACAACAGGGCAGATCAAGGATCGTACACTGAACCAATAATACTTATTAACCCTCTCTTGGTAGCTGGTTTAGATTTACAAGTTCGAAACCCAGTTGTGTCATAGTCTGTACTCCATTTTACTCCAAGAGCTCGCTCGCTTTGAGGTAGAAAGTCACTAGTCAAGTCAATGTCCTTATTAATCCCCGTTCAACAAAGTCCGTTCGTCCGTCAAGTCGAGCATATCTCCTAAACTATTGGTGATATCTTAACCAAACTTGGTACACATATCAACCATTATCCCTAAATGTGCCTTGTGGGGGTTAGACCAAGATGGGAATTTTATTTTTTGCGGTTTCCATTGAAACATTAGGCTGTGACTATGAGTGAGTGAGTTAATATTTAACGTCACATCGGCAATATTTCAGCCATACCGTGACGAGAACATTTGACATTGCCATGGAATATATGTTTATGTATTATAAAAAACCTGTCGACAAAGGACAGTAAAACAACTAGAATATCACAGACATACATGTAAAACTAGTAATTAAATCTAAAACATTTTAACTATAGGGGAAAACACACTATATAAATAGGCTATAGATCGCCAACAACTGAAGGTAGTTCACCATACTAGGGACCTGTGACTATGAGGATGTCATCTTGTCCGGAGCAGATCTCCCAGACTATACATGCTAGCTTCATCAAGCTTGGTACACATATCAAGCATGATCCCTATGTGTGCCTTTTGGGGTTTAGATCCAGATATGAATTGTAGTTTTTGACTACTAGAGGATGTCATCTTGTTGCATTTCCATGGCAACAAGTTAGGCTTCAACTGAATTTAGTGGTAGTGCTCCTTTCTGAAGCAGATCTTAAAACCTTTCCATACTCTCCTTCCACTTTGCTGTATACCCTCCAAAACATTGACATAATCATAATTAGTAGACATATTCATAAAGAGTATGGTGCCGTTGCGGGGGATATTAATGACTTTGTCTTCTTGTTTCTTTTGCTCTCTCTTCACTAGGAATGGAATCCAACACAGTTCTATTGTTACTGATCCACTTTGTCATCCTAAAGCCTCCCTTTGACAGTAGCTCACAGAGTTGCTTAATTAGGCGAATGGCTTCATGTTCTGCTGGCACTGACTTTAAACAGTCATCTACATACAAATTTTCAAGCACTGTTTGAACTGTTTCCTGATCAAAGTCATTAACATTCTCCTCTGCTGTTCGTCTAACAGCATACGAAGCACAACTGGGGCTCCATACCCCGCCAAACAAATGTACAGTCATTCTATACACCTGAGGTGGTTTAGTCCTGTTCATATTAGGCCACCACAAAAATCTCAGTGCATCCTTATGCTTCTCACTAACCTTCACTTGATGAAACATAGCTTCTATGTCTCCCATAAAAGCCACCTTGTGTTGCCGAAATCTAAGAAGTACACCAATCAGTTTGTTGGTAAGATCAGGTTCCTGTAGGACTTCAGTACTTAAACTTGTACCTGCACACTGTGCGGAACAATCAAACACAATTGTTAGCTTGTCAGGTTTTTATGGAGTAACTACTGCAGCATGAGGAATGTATCAAACCGGCCTATCCCCTGTAATGATTTCATTATCAGGCACCTTTTCTGCATATCCCCTTTGCAATAGGTCTCTTATTCCGTCTTGATATCTTCCAGTCAAGTTCTGGTCCTTTGAAAGTCTCCTATACAGAGATTCCAATATTGCTTCCGCAATGGCATAATAGTTCGTCAACTCTGGTATATCAGACTTGAATGGAATGTCCATCTTGTAATGTCCATGATCAATTTCCACACTTTGGTCCCACATGTTAACAACTTTCTGATCATTAACAGACATAGTAACTTCACTATCCACTCCATGTGAATCCACTTTCCAAAACCTCTCCACTAAAGACTGTAACTCACAATCTTTTGCACAGCTTGGACATAATGAGATGTTACTGCACAACGGCTGCCAAGCTCCATTTACCACCCAGCCTAACGTCGTTCTTGAAGTATAGGGTTCATCCAAACCTCCTCTACAAATGTCGAATGGTGCCAGCGCTGAGGGATTATCTTGTCCAATAGGAAGTTCTGTCTTAGCCCCTTCCAGTTCATGCAGACTGATATCTTTCAAATGTGGGCATTTGTCTAAGTCTCTTTGAGATGACATACTTATTGGAAAAACTGGAATTTCAGGAATCACGAAAACATGATGCATCCTTATCCAGTGCTTACCACTCAAGTCAGCAACATCTAAATTTACTATACTTGTGTCAGATTTTGAGTTATCACTAGTCAGTGTGGTCAGTGATAAAGTTGTTCTTCTACCTTGAAGGCCAAGTTGTTTAACTATGTCCTGTGTACAGAAAGTATTTGTGCTTCCTGGGTCATGTAAGGCATAAGTCCTGACGCAGTTATTTTCACAGCCTTTGATTATAACTGGTACAATGGGAAGAGCTATCCTACCCATCCCGGCCCCATTAACCCCACACACTGAATTGTGAAGAGACTGGACTGTTGTTTG